GGCACCATCTCTTTTGCTTATATTGTTCTGGATCTATGCTAGTGAAATGGAGACATAGTGATTCAGGCTTCCTTGTGCAAAGAGTCCTACAGGAGAACAAAGGTAGATGCTGAGGAGAAAAATTCCTGACAACTTAGAGTCAGTGGTTGAAGAAACAAATATTCTAGGAAAGGCAGTTTTAATCTCAAGGTATAGAAATCTATTCTAGCTAGCAAAAACCCAAGGCATTAAGTGAAAGAACATCAGGGATTCTCTGTGAACCCCAGAGCAGGAAATGTGGAGAGCCTCCTGAGCATTGGGAGGTTTTCTGTTCCCATAGTTCCATAGTTTCTTGTCTCTGCCTTTCTCAGCACATTTTTTTCTCTTCTCTGTGTTGACAGTTTGCTTATTTACCAGGTTATACTTGACCCAAAATGACAAGCACAACTGCCAAGTCTTTAGGAATTTCATTTTATTTCTCCCTCACTATCTGGCCCAAATGCTAAGAGAGGAATTTCATTTGGTCAGTTTGTCATACCAGGTACTAGGGATTTGGCCATTTAAGGGAATATTTTTGGTATATAGGTGTGGCCAGAGGTGGTGGGTGGAAATCATGAAGTTGCCCTGCCTAGGCATGTGTCTTAAAACATGTCTGTTAGAGGAAGTACGTGGTGATTTGGTGAATTATATTTTTCCAAGTGCAGTATATAGCTGAGTTACTCTTTTTGAAAATCCAGACTTCCAGTGTGATTTAATACCCACCAGCTCATTGATACCCTCTTCTGAGTTTGGTTCTTCTGTACAAGTAACAGAGAACTAAACTGGCTCAAATAAAGGGATAGTTATTGAAAAGACACATTGAGCAGCTTAACATACATATAAAATATATAATGTCCCTTAAGGACAGTAATTCAACGACAGGAATGTTAGCAAAGGAAGGCCAAGAACTGAACCAGCATGCTACCAGAACTTGCTTCTTACTTAGGTCTTTTATTCTTCACTGCATGGTCTACCATGATAACTGCTTTTTTCTGTTCTTTGGGGCTTAATGTTTAGTAATTTCTTGAAAAGCTGATAAATTATAATACATAAAATATTTGGATCATTAACTTCTTACATTCAGATTCTTTTGTGCTTAAGTCTGAGTTTCAGTTTATTTTTCTTTGGAATGTTGGCTGGCAAAAAGAGAGAAAATCTAAGTAGAGAGGTAGGAGAATCGAGAGATGGTGGCATGCAAGTCAAGAAATGAATGAATTTTAGAAAGTGACTAAACTGAAAATTTTTTGAAAAAATGAGAATATAAGTAAGGGCTTGGACCAGTGATTTTTTTTTTTTTTTGGTGGGGTGGGCAGGGGTTTCCGAATGGATGAGAATGGAGAGTGGAATTTTCTCTGAATCGATGATTTAGCTGGGAATTGAGAATAGAGAAAAATGGATATGCTAAGTTTTAGAAAGTAAGTTAGACATTCACATAAACTCTAGGTACTTGTAATATTGCTTATGGAAATGCTGAACTAGAGTGCCTCCTGCACCCTCTCCCTCCCAACAATGAATGACCAACACGAACTGAGGGTGGGAAAGAAGGCATGAATATGTGAAGGAGATGTTTAGGTCACTTAAAAGAATAAATTGAGAGGTGGGTACAGTTGAGTAAGTGCCTACAAAGTATTAAACATTTTGTCTCATTTAATTATTTTAACAAACTTGTAAAATAGCTGGTGTTAACACCAGTATTACAGATGAGGAAACAGTGAAGTGTATATTTTCATTGACGATTTTGATAAGTGTATGGGATGTTTGGTATGGTGAAGGAGCTTCTCAAGGGGTGATGGATGGGACAGGCACTTTAGAATATGATTCTTAAAATGAAGGTTGTGAAGTGATACTTGTGCTTAATTTTTTATTTTCCAAATGTGATATGTAGTTCTGGGTTTATTTTGATTTGATAACTTTGTATGTGGTAAAACATCAACTTAATTTGCTAAATTATGGTTCTAGTAAGGACAGAATCCCTGTAAGAAGAAGCCAAGGGTTGAGGCTTACAAAAGAAAGTTCTGGGATCTGGGAAATGGAAGAGAAATGCAGAAATATAGGTCATATGTGTGTGAGATCTGTGGGTGGGATGAAGAGAGAATACTGTGGAGGTAAGTCAGGTAGGTAGGACCACTAAAGTGGTCATCTTGCTTTTTGCCTCTTTAGTAAAGGGAATGGGAGATGCTTTTATGGGGAGAAGTAGCAGTAGAAAAAGTCTTGGATGGTCTTCCTTTGGATGAGAAAGTTGCCCAAAGAGAAAAATACGTTGGTAAGACCAAAGGAGATAGACAAGGATCTGTTAGTGGAAGGAAAGGAGGCTTGTAGACACTTTAGCAAAAGTGAAGGAGGAATTAGTGAATAGCACTAGAAATTAACATTATCTCACCACAAACTGAATTCTGGAGAAAGGGGAAATAGAGTACAAGAATGGGAAAAGAATGTTCTGTTTTGCTGGGGACATTTACTCTGATTATAATTTATAGCCCACTTTTTTCCTTTGTGATATAAAAGGTGTCTTTGTTACCTACCTGAAATATTTCTTACAATCGTCTGTGTCTTCTTGATTCCTGAGCATCTTCTTGTGATTGTTAGTTTTGTTTCTTAGGGAGAATTTTGTCTGGAGAGTCTGCCTGTTCCCATTATAAATAATAAGTTCCTGACTAGTTAAAAACACTTTTGTGAGAATGGTTTGTTTTATCTGGTCTAGCCATTGTGGATGCAAATGGTTTAAACGGGTTTCTGGACTAGTAAAGAAAACTTCAGAAAGTTAAGCTCCTTTCTCAACAATTGTCCACAAAGATGGGAGGGTAGTTTACAAAGGTAGGAGGAAGAGTGGTTCATTTTGTACATGAGTCACAGGAAGAAATCCTGCGAAGAAGAGCTGGAGGAAGTGAAGAGAGAGAGCTAAAGAGAGGGAGAGAGGAGACCTGAGAGAGCAAGCAAGCAAATAAGAAGCGAGGCGAATAAGAGTATGACGGAATGCAAATCGCTACCAGGGCAGGACGGGCAAATTTTGAAGGCGTGGGGGGCGAACAGTAAAAAGCAAAAGCAAGAAGACCAAGAGACCACACCCCTCAAAGCCCACAGCAGAAACAGAAGGCACTTTTATCTGTGGGTGGAAACTTGCTGTGGCTGCCAGAGAGGTTGCTTGGTGATGTAGAAAGGACATTGCACTTTCAGTGGGAGTACCTGAATTTAGTGCTGGCAGTGCCATTGAACTGCTCTTCCCTACATAACAGTAGTTGATGAAGGCATTTCTTTGAGTCTTAGTTTTCTTCTAATCTCTTACATGGGAATAACTACTGTGAGATTGTTGTGATGATTACATAGATATATGTATTGCATATTCTATCTTCCTTTATTCCTACTTTTTCCTTGGAAAATATAAATAAAATTTCCAACATTCTTGGTTATAACTATTTGTAGATTTTTGGATTTTCAGGAATGCCTAGCTCTAGTTAAATGTATGATTAGATTCCACAGAAAAAGCTAGATAACAGAGCTTTATGCATTTGATTTACATGCTTTGTAAATGTTAACTCAGGCTTAAAGATTCAAAATTATTTCATCTAACATTTGTAGAGTTTCCAGCTAATATCCTGTCCTCATCCCCAGCCTATCCCCATTTATTTTTACCACCCATATAGTTTAGTAGCTTATTCAGTGTGCTTACCTAAATAATGTAAACACCTCATAAAGTGATACAGCTTCTATTTCAAGGTCTTTTGAAACTGTTTTTCACTACAATAATAAGCCTTGTCTCTCTGTTCTCATGGCTAAATTTTAACTTCATTTGAATTTTAGAAAGTTATATTTTTAGCAAGCATCCCAAAACTGTTACTTTTTGGTGATACAGTGTGTCATTTTGAGTCAGTTCTGGTTTTTGAAAATAGGTGATTTAAAAAATAATGCAGCTGTATTTTATGTGGTGTCAGCCTTGTCAAATTAAGATGATTGATACATAGACAGAATGTTAATAAAATCCTTAAATTGGTTCCCTTAGCTATATTCTGATTCATGGTCTTTATACTTTTCCCTCTCCGTGCCTGGCCCTAGCGTGACCTTCTTTGTGTTTACCCCCTGCTAGAAATTGTACATTGCATTGGGAGGTAGTGATGATCAGAAGAGGATGTCTGGGAGACTCCTGCTTCAGGCAATCAGCAGTCTGTCTCAGGCAGAAGAGCCTTCCTCTTTAATAAAGTCTTGCAGAGATGGCTTGTTGTCATAACTGAGAGAACCAGTAGACTATTGGACAACAAAGGATTTTGAATTATAACTGTTTTGAATAATGTATTTCATACCTTGTAGTAATGACTGTGGAAATGAGTTAATTGAAGTCTGGAAAGATTGTTACGTGGGTAGTACATTTAATTAAATGACAGGTAAAGTTTGAAGGAATTCTTACGATATGTGCTATTTTTTTTTTCCTTTCCTGGTTTTGAGATTCTGGGAGCCCCCCAAAAATAAATCTCCCAATATGGAGAAATGTTGGGGCATTCCGTTACATAGTTTGTAGCACCTTTCCCTTACGTTTATGAAAGAAATACTGGATTGGATCAAATGAGTCTCCTAGTTTTTACTTAATGTTCACAGCTGGGGACAAGCACTGTGGCCTTTGACTCAGTAGCAAGGTTTAGGTAACGTAATCATCCTCATACATCATTGCTTTCAGCATGTTGGTCTTACTAAATTAAAATGTATGAAAAATAGCTAATAAAATTATCATGTGATGGAATTTGCTTTTTCTCTTTCCGGATTATGTGTTTTTCATGTTTTGAAAACAAAAGGGTATGGGAGGGGAGAAAGCGGGGGTCAGTGCTGAACTCTGATGGTTAAAGGTAAGTGGATGTTTAATTTTAGTCACTTGATTACTGTTAACAGTCTTTGTCAATATCTGAAAATAAACATAGAAAAGCTTTTCAGTTGTGTTTAATGTGTATGTAAAATCCAAGATGCTTACTTGAAACTTTTCCCTCTGTTCTGAATAGGTTCGGTCTATGGATGAACTGAATCATGATTTTCAAGCACTTGCTCTGGAGGGAAGAGCAATGGGAGAGGTAAGTGAACTGGTGTGTCAGAAAAGTAGGCCTGTTTTTAAGGGAAGGTTGGAGTTGTCTTTCATCAAATGTGTCCTAATCTAGTCTCCAGAAGTATGTGCTTGCTTTTCCTTGTTGCCATCCTCATGGTAGGAATGTGATATTGTAGAATTTTGCCCTAAAGGATCTCATTATAAGAAGAATATTAACTTGAGTCTTATGTCTTAAAAACAAAGCAAAATAACCAAAGTATGAGCAGAAATTATTGAATATTATATTAACTGATCAGTTGTAAATTGAAACATTAAATTTTTACAAAAATAATTTTATATTCATCAAATGTCTTTAGATTTGCTTCATTTTCTAGTTGCTAGGTACTTTTGCAGTGGAAGGGAGTCAGACTGGTTTTTAATCAGAATATGTTGATAACTTATTTTTAGAGTAGAGCCATTTTTGAGAAAGTTTTTTAGAGCTCCATTGGGAAGAGGAAGATGTTAGGTCTCTGATGAAATAACCAGAAGTTAGAAGCCTGAGCCAGTCATCCCTTGCATACATAGAACTCAGAAACAATAATTTTGGTTTGTTTATAATGCTTAAAAATTACAAAAACAAAATTTGCTACCATCTCTTATATTGATAAGGAAGATTGCCATGGTTCTAAAAGAAAAGGGAGTACAGATAGAGTGCAGCTGACTTCTGGTGGTTCTAGTTGTTGACAGTAAGAATGTTTTGGTGACAAGGTAGCATATTATATAGTGTGAATTAAGTGCTAAAGCTGTTACAGAGTCTGAATTTGTGGGCATTTGCTTGTGATCGTCTTGTTCCAGAAATTAACTTTAGGTGTTTTCTCTGTTTTATTTTGTATGTATCTAATATTCGAAAGCTCCCACATCTATTTTAATGTTTTTAAAGGAGGCAGAATAGTTTTATTCTGGATTCTCTTTTATATCATTCATTAAATACATTTATTCTTTGATTCAGGGGCTGTACTAGGTTCTGAGGATTCAGAATTAAGATAATTCCTTCTGATTTATAATAATATTCATTGACTGCCTTTGTGGTTAGGCATTATATAGTTAAATTCTTTTGGTGTTTGGTTCTGAGACTCTTACTTTCTTTGTTACAAGATTCTGTTTCCAACTTTCCCGAATCATCTTGTTGTTAGAGTCCAGCATTTCATCATCTTGGAGTCATGGGTTTTTGGCCTATTCTTGTTTTCCCCCAAGAGCTTTAAGAGAAGGTTACTGGGTGTCCTTGTGTTTCCTGTGCCTGCCTGATATCATTGAAACAGTGCCCATGAACAAACCCTAGATGGTTATCAGGTAAAAGGTTTTATCAGTTAACTCTGGCACAGAGTTTGAACAGAAAGCTAACAGATGAGTCTGATGTTAAGTATAGATGGGGAACAACATTTATCTTCTAACCCAGTCCTGTGATTCTAACCTGGTCCACTTTACCAAAAATCGAATCCCAAGTTTTTAAAATTAATTATACAAAATAAAAATAATGCTCTGTTGCTGTTTTGTAAGCAGCACTTTGTAACCTCTAAATTCTGTTTGAAAAATAATGAACAGAATCAAAAGTGAATTTTATCTAAATGACAGCATAAAAAATATTTTTAAATAATTTTTTCTTCCATTGCTTTTTTTCCCTAAGGTCCCCAAACCTCATCCTCCTTGTTTTTGTTAGAAATGCCATCGTTTTGTACATATATGTAATTCCCCAGACCTGGATGCTGGCAAATGTAAATACTACACAAAGTACATTCCAGCAGTAAAGTAGGGGCTCTCTTCCTCCTGGTTTCCTCATTGTTTATTCACAGAGTAGTACTAACTACCATTTACTCACCATCTGTTTGGCAGATGCTAAGGGGTTTGCATGTAGTCTCTCATCAATAACTCAGTCAGGACAGTTCTGTTACCCAGATAAGGAAGAAGGGTAAGAGAGGTGAATTACTGTGCCCAGAGTCACATATTTAGTAAGTGATGAAGTTGAGATTCTGACCTGGCTTCCTCTCCCAAAGCATGTGCCCTTTTGAGTAAGTGAAGCCAATACTTGTAAAATAACTGATGGTAAAAATCTCATTTAATAAGCTTTATAAAAATTGATATTTTGGGTGAGGATGTTAAAAAATGCTTCATACACCCCCACCCCAAAATACAGATAATTACTGAAGTTATTTTTGAAAACATAACAGTGTCTAGGCACAAAGGGGGTAAACGAAATAAGTACGGAGTGAGGTTTCTGTACTCAAAGAACTCTTTCTTGAGCTAATTGAGGAAGCAGTGAACACATATGACAACAGAAAGAGTGCACAGTTTTTTTGTATGGTTTGAGTTTAGAGAAGGGGGTGATCAGTATTGGCATGACTATTTTGTGATTACTTGATTGAAGGATGTGTAAGATGGGAAACATCTGGTTAAGTTAGGATTTGCACAGGTACAGTTTGAGAGAGTGTTTTCTTCAGTCATACAAGAGTAATTCAGCACAAAAGAGAAACGAAGAAAATAAGCTTTTATAATAAAATAGCACAGCTTCTACTTAGTTTAGCTTCATTAAACTTCCTTCCCTTTAAGTAGCAAAACTTGTCAGGGAGGGGGTTTGTATAAATAGAGTCTTTACCCATATAAACACTAAAATTTCAAGTAAATTGCATGGGCTTTTAACCCAGGCACAATATATTTGTGCTGCAGGTATTTTATGTAAACATACCTATGCTCAAGAATGTATGAATCTTTAGAATTCAGAGAATTGGCTCCATTGAAGGTAATTAATTGATCTCTAGAAAAGTTAATGGTGCTTGGCTCTTGTTACATTTTTTTCATCAAAGTCACTACTAGACTCTTGGTGTCACTTTGCAAGATTTAGAGCATATCTTAATAGAAATCTTGCTAAGAAGTGACTGTTTAAAACATCACTTTCAGACCTTGCTGGTTGTCTGAAGTAAGCTGCTCTTAGCTGAAGGACAGTACAAGTGCTTGCCTCCTACTCCAGAAAGTCAGTATAAAAAGAAAGGCAGGAATATGTCTTAGGTTTAGGGCCACAATTATTTTAAAAGATTTCATCTGCTCTCCTTGCCAGACCCTTTCATTCATTTTAAAGTTTTTGAGCCCTGAAAAGTTTAAATGCATATTTGAGCAGCTTTTTTTCACATATGAAAAGATTAGTCTGTTAGTTGAGTATTCAGGACTGTATCTTTGTAGTACTAGGGAAGACTCATTAGGGGTTTCTGGGCTGTTTCTACCTTGGTTTGGTTTATGATCTTGCATGACTTACTTGTTCCATCTGTAGGAGGGGAGCATTATTACTGTTCATGTCCTTAAAAAGAGGAGAGCAGTTTTAATTGGAAAGGACTTTGAGAGTCTTACAGGAAAGGGACCTTATTCTGCATAATTGGTTTTCTCACTTTTAAAAACCAAGGACTTCACCAAATTATAAAAGAGCTCACGCACCTCAACAAACAAAAAGCAAATAAGCCAGTTAAAACATGGGCAGAGGAGCTGAACAGACACTTCTCTGAAGAAGAAATTTAGATGGCCAACAGACACATGAAAAGATGCTCCACATAGCTAATCAACAGAGAAATGCAAATTTAAACCACAATGAGATACCACCTCACATCAGTTAGGATGGCCAACATCCAAAAGACAAAAAACAACAAATGTTGGTGAGGATGTGTAGAAAGGGGAACCCTCCTACACTGTGAGAATGTAAATTAGTTCAACCATTGTGGAAAACAGTATGGAGGTTCCTCAAAATGCTCAAAATAGAAATACCATTTGACCCAGGAATTCCATTTCTAGGAATTTACCCCAAGAATGCAGCACTCCAGTTTGAAAAAGACAGATGCACCCCTATGTTTATTGCAGCACTATTTACAATAGCCAAGATATGGAAGCAACCTAAGTGTCCATCAGTAGATGAATGGATAAAGAAGAGGTGGTACATATACACAATGGAATATTATTCAGCCATAAGAAGAAAAGAAATCCTACCATTTGCAACAACATGGTTGGAGCTAGAGGGTATTATGCTCAGTGAAATAAGCAGGCAGAAAAAGACAAATACCAAATGATTTTGCTCGTCTGTGGTGTATAAGAACAAAGAAAAACTGAAGAAACAAAACAGCAGCAGAATCACAGAACCCAAGAATGGACTAACAGTTACCAAAGGGAAAGAGACTGGGGAGAATGGGAGGGTAGGGAAGGATAAGGGCGGGGAAAAAGAAAGGGGGTATTACGATTAGCATGTATAGAGAGTGGGGGGCATGGGGAGGGCTGTGCAACACGGGGAAGACAAGTAGTGATTCTACAGCATCTTACTACACTGATGGACAGTGACTGTGGTGGGGTTTGTTGGGGGGGACTTGGTGAAGGGGGGAGTCTAGTAAACATAATGTTCTTCATGGAATTGTAGATTAATGATAACAAAAAAATTTCATTGATAAACCATCTTATGATAGTTTCACATAAGCAGCCCAGTGGTTTCAACATTCGCCCACATTATCAGGTCCTCACCCCCTCCATTGCGGTCACTGTCTATCAACTGTAGTGGGATGTTGTGGAGTCATTGATTATCTTCTCTGGGCCATAAGCCAGTAATATTTTTTAAAAATAACAAGAGAAGGAAAGGCAGAAAGAAGATATGCAAGTGAGCTAAATACCGTAAGTGAACTAAATCCTCATGTATTGGAACAAAGGGCAATAAATAATGTCAAAAGCTGAAAAAAAAAATACAGTTGCAGATTCTCATTAGATATTACCTAGGATATCTGTTTGGAAGTTTGAGATAAAAGAATGGCTTTAGAGGGAGACATTCGATGGTGGTTTGGAGAGCTATTCACCCAAAGAAAGGTATAACTCAATGGGATAGAAATCTTACTGGACCAAGAACACTGAAGTCACAGCTTCCAGCCTTGGTTCAGATATTCATATTATTTGGACTTTGCTTTTTTTCCACTCATAGGACAAAGATATTGGACTAATTTCCCAGGACCTTTTCAATTCTAAGATTCTTGAAGT